CGGGCGAACATATGCGCGGTTCGATCCGCCCCCTATTCGTCATCATTAAGTAAACTTTGACCCTGTACCTCACAGTCAGCAGACACATTCCAGCCAATTAGCAGCACACCCTCCCTAGCAGACCCTCCCACCTACTGGAAGGCATCCATTTTACATTCATTCTCAAGCTGCATGTTTAGTGAGAGGAGGGAAAGTGTAGCTGCTGTTGATTAGATAGGGAAATGCATAGCTAGGTTAGGGTATACAGTGTCCACTACAGTCCTGAAGGACTCATCTGATCTCTGCTGTAAGGACAGCACCCAAAAAGCCCTTTTTAGGGCAAGAACATCAGTCTGCTTTTTTTTTTTTTTCTGTGTAATGTAATTGCAGTTGCCTGCCTGCCTGCCAGCTTCTGTGTCAGGCTCACAGTGGATACTGTGCCCAGTGCCACCACTCACTCACTGGTGTCACAATAGCTTGCATTTAAAAACCCAAAAACTTTTTTCTCTGTTATAGATTGAATAGCAGTTATTTGTCTCAAAGCGGGTGTGTCAGGCTCACAGTGGATACTGTGCCCAGTGCCACCACTCACTCACTGGTGTGACAACAGCTTGCATTTAAAACCCCAAAACTTTTTTCACTGTTATAGATTGAATATAAAAGTGGCCTCTTTGAGAGAAATATTTCCCACAATCAGAACAAAAATAAGGTTTCTCTCCTGTATGGCTCCTCAAATGATGCTTAAGATTGGAAGCAGCTGAAAAGCATTTCTCACACTCAGAACAAAAATATTTTTTTTAACATTCTCTCCACTTTGAACGAAATGACGTTTGGGAAGAGATTTTGTATGAGTAGGTTTTTCATGTACGATACGGGAACATGATTTAGATCCTTGGTAAGTTTTGCGAGATCCAATAGTGTGTATGTAGGGGAAACAGTCAATCCATATCTGCCAAGTGACCCTATGTAGGAGGAACAGTCTCTATTCTGCTCTGTGTCAGTGTGTATCAGGGGCTCTGAGGACAGGTGTCAATCCATATCTGCCAAGTCACCCTATGTAGGGGTAACAGTCAATATTTTGCTCTGTGTCAGTGTGTATCAGGGGCTCTGAGGACAGGTGTCAATCCATATCTGCCAAGTGACCCTATGTGGGAGGAACAGTCTCTATTCTGCTCTGTGTCAGTGTGTATCAGGGGCTCTGAGGACAGGTGTCAATCCATATCTGCCAAGTGACCCTATGTAGGGGGAACAGTCTCTATTCTGCTCTGTGTCAGTGTGTATCATGATCTCTGAGGTCAGGTGTCAATCCATATCTGCCAAGTGACCCTATGTAGGAGGAACAGTCTCTATTCTGCTCTGTGTCAGTGTGTATCATGGTCTCTGAGGACAGGTGTCAATCCATATCTGCCAAGTGACCCTATGTAGGGGGAACAGTCTATTCTGCTCTGTGTCAGTGTGTATCATGGTCTCTGAGGACAGGTGTCAATCCATATCTGCCAAGTGACCCTATGTAGGAGGAACAGTCTCTATTCTGCTCTGTGTCAGTGTGTATCAAGGGCTCTGAGGACAGGTGTCAATCCATATCTGCCAAGTGACCCTATGTAGGGGAAACAGTCTCTCTTCTGCTCTGTGTCAGTGTGTATCATGATCTCTGAGGACAGGTGTCAATCCATATCTGCCAAGTGACCCTTTGTAGGAGAACAGTCTCTATTCTGCTCTGTGTCAGTGTGTATCATGGTCTCTGAGGATAGGTGTCAATCCATATCTGCCAAGTGACCCTATGTAGGGGAAACAGTCTCTATTCTACTCTGTGTCAGTGTGTATCATGGTCTCTGAGGACAGGTGTCAATCCATATCTGCCAAGTGACCCTATGTAGGAGGAACAGTCTCTATTCTGCTCTGTGTCAGGGTGTATCAGGGGCTCTGAGGACAGGTGTCAATCCATATCTGCCAAGTGACCCTATGTAGGAGGAACAGTCCCTATTCTGCTCTGTGTCAGTGTGTATCAGGGATCCTTAGGACAGGTGTCAATGCATATCTGCCAAGTGACCCTATGTAGGGGGAACAGTCTCTATTCTGCTCTGTGTCAGTGTGTATCATGATCTCTGAGGACAGGTGTCAATCCATATCTGTCAAGTGATCCTATGTAGGAGGAACAGTCTCTATTCTGCTCTGTGTCAGTGTGTATCATGATCTCTGAGGACAGGTGTCAATCCATATCTGCCAAGTGACCCTATGTAGGAGGAACAGTCTCTATTCTGCTCTGTGTCAGTGTGTATCAGGGGCTCTGAGGACAGGTGTCAATCCATATCTGCCAAGTGACCCTATGTAGGAGGAACAGTCTCTATTCTGCTCTGTGTGAGTGTGTATCAGGGGCTCTGAGGACAGGTGTCAATCCATATCTGCCAAGTGACCCTATGTAGGAGGAACAGTCTCTATTCTGCTCTGTGTCATTGTGTATCATGGTCTCTGAGGACAGCTGTCAATCCATATCTGCCAAGTGACCCTATGTAGGAGGAACAGTCCCTATTCTGCTCTGTGTCAGTGTGTATCAGGGATCCTTAGGACAGGTGTCAATCCATATCTGCCAAGTGACCCTATGTAGGGGGACCAGTCTCTATTCTGCTCTGTGTCGGTGTGCATCAGGGGCTCTGAGGACAGGTGTCAATCCATATGTCAAGGTGTCAATATGTCATATGTCAGGTGTCAATCCATATCCATTGTGATTTAGGAATGTTAGGTGATTTATGCCCTTTATGGATTAAGACCAGACTCTGCATCAACTGTGTAATTTTTCCATGGGAGTTGTGAAATGCATCCCCCTCCGGCATGCCACAGTCCAGGTGTTAGTCCCCTTGAAACAACTTTTCCATCACTATTGTGGCCAGAAAGAGTCCCTGTGTGTTTTAAAATTCGCCTGCCCATTGAAGTCTATGGCGGTTCGCCCGGTTCGCCGGTTCGCGAACATTTGCGGAAGTTCGCGTTCGCCGTTCACGAAACGAAATTTTCGGGTTCGCGACATCACTATTGTGCATCACCCGCAATAATCAGCCACAACATTAAAACCACTGGCAGGTGAAGTAAATAACATTGATTATATCATTACAATGGTTCCTGTCAAGGTGCTGGATATCTAAGGTAGAAAGCAAAGAGTCAATTGTTGAATTTCCATGTGTTTGGAGCAGGAAAAATGGGCAAGCAAAAAGATCTGAGTGACTTTGACAAGGACCAAATAGTGATGGCTAGGCGACTTGGTCAAAGTATCTCCAAAACGGCAGAACTTGTAGGGGTATTCCCAGGTGATTTTAATGTTGTGGCAGATCAGTGTAAATATCTCAAGGTAAACCTGAGAATAAACAATACAGTTTCAGTTGGGGATAGGGTTAGGACAATAGCAGGACTTCCATGTCTTGGAGAGCTACTGCAGTTTCTTGCTGCTGTCAATAATTCATCCCATCTCCTTATAGACTGTAGAATGTTCTCTACATTTTCCTCAACAATCCTTAGCATTTGTTTTATGATGCTCTTGTTGCTTTAGTGCTCTCCTTCATCTAAATAGTGACCAGATCCATGCAATTCAGGCACACTACAGCTTAGCTATTTTGGTTTAAAAAATTGAATTCCTTGATGGGTTTTCAACAATTCCGACATTTGTGGTTATTGACTAAATCAGATTTAAGATTTATGGATAAGATTACCAAACTGTCTCATCAGAGAAATTTGCCTTTTAGCTGATACCAGCAAGGTGATTTGTATGTTATAGCCCTATTTAGGGTAAAGTATGTAGGGGTTTATAAAACACCCTTTCATGTCTCATTAGAGACGTTTATACTTTGTCTGATACCAGCAAAGTTTATTGAATGTGTAGAAGCCCTATAAAGGGTTAAATGTTAAAGGGTTTATAAAATACCCCTTCCTGTCTTATTGGAGACTCTTGGCTGATATCAGCGTATCTAATGGCTAGTGTAGGAACCCACCTATTGAGGCTTGCCTTGACGTGGCTGGTGAGCTTACACATTCAAATGGCCATTTAGAATAGAACTTAAGAGCCTCCATTTTTGTTCAAATGCACATGGGGATCTAGGCCAGAGCGCAGGTAACGTTTTTCTTTGTTTTTGCTATGTATTTTAAGCTGTTGGATACTAAGCCACTGCTGCTGTAAGCGCGGTGCTTTATCTTTGTGTCTGTGTGTGTATATATATATATATATATATATATATATATATATATATATATATATATATATTATGAAATATAAATAATAAGTAAATAAAAATACATTTAAAAATAATAAAAAATTAAATACGAAAAACTATATATATATATACATCACAGTGATGATATTGTTGATGTGTTTTACTGTTTTGAAACACTAATATTTGTATTCAGCAAAGTCTCATGAGTATAACAGTACCCCCCCCATGTACAAGTTTTATAGTGTTTTTGAAAGTTACAGGGTCAAATATAAGGCTTGATTTTCACATTGAAAATTGCCAGATTGGTTATGTTGCCTTTGAGAGCATATGGTAGCTCAGGAATGAGAATTACCTCCATGATGGCATACCCTTTGTAAAAGAAGATAACCCACGGTATTGAAAATGGGGTATGTTCAGTCTTTTTTAGTAGCCACTTAGTAGTCACAAACACTGTCCAAAGTTAGCATTCAAAATAGTTTTTTTGCATTTTTAACCACAAACAAATATAAATGCTAACTTTGGCCAGTGTTTCTGACTGAGTGGCTACTAACAAAAGACTGGACATACCCCACATTGAATAATAATATCCAGGATTTAACCAGGAAAGGTACATTCAGATTACTCTGGTTTTCAAGGATGTGCTGGGGATATTACCTTAGCCCACTGGCGTACATACTGCAGTTGCAGGGGTCGCAGCTGTGGGCCCGGCCGCCCTGCAACCCGGGTAGGCACGCCAGTTTGCCAGCCTCTTCTTCTGGGGAGCCCAGGAGCTGGCTACCTCGGGGCCCCCCGAGGCTGGCAGTGGTGTTGGAGGGAGCATTCTTCCCTGAGCGCTCTCTGCCCAGCTCCCTCGCTAGCACTGCAGTGATGCCGGAGCCAGAATATGACATCACTCCGGCATCAGTAAGCCGCGCGCGAGGGAGCTGAACAGGAGGATCAGTGCTCTCTTGCGGCCTGTAGGACCGGCCGCCCAGCAGCCCCACTGGATCCCAGGGAAATCTGGAATCCCCTTAGCTCCCAAAGGCAGGGAAGCTGGGCGATTAAATTTTAAAAAATGTGTGTATGTGTGTTAGTGTTAGTGTGTGTGTGTTAGTTTTTGGGTGTCAGTGTGTGTGTGTGTTACTGTGTGTGTCTGTTAACGAGTGTGTTAGTTGTGTGTTAGTTTGTGTGTGTTTGCTATTGAGTGTGTGTCTGTTAGTGAGTGTCAGTGAGTGTGTGTGTGTGTTACTGTGTGTTAGTTTATCTGTGTCTGTTATTGAGTGTGTGTCTGCTAGTGAGTGCCAGTGTGTGTGTGTTAGTTTATGTGTCAGTGAGTATGTGTGTGTCAGTGAGTGTGTTACTGGGTGTGTCTGTTACTCACTGTGTTAGTTTATGTGTGTCTGTTAGTGTGTGCCTGTTAGTGAGTCTGTTTGGTGTCTGTTAGTGAGTGTGTGTTTGTCAGTGAGAGTGTATGTTTTGTAGTTGAGTGTGAATGTTTGTCTGTCTGTCAGTGAGTGTGTATGTATTTCTGTCACTGAGTGTGTGTATGTCAGTAAATGTGTGTGTTTGTTAGCTAGTGTGTATGCGTCTGTTCGTGAGAGTGTGTGTGTGTGGTTAAAACCCCTTCAGCACTTACCTTTCCCAGTGCCGGGCTCCCTTGGCGCTGAGGATCTCTCTGACCCGATCCGCCTCTCAGCTCCGAATGCGCATGCGCGGCAAGAGCTGCGTGCGCATTCAAACCGCCCATAGGAAAGCATTATTCAGTGCTTTCCTATGGACGTCCAGTGTCTTCTCATTGTGATTTTCACAATGAGAATCGTGGAAGCGCCTCTAGCGGCTGTCAGTGAGACAGCTACTAGAGGCCGGATTAACCCTCAGTGAAACATAGAAGTTTATCTGAAACTGCTATGTTTTCAGCTGCAGGGTTAAAACTAGAGGGACCTGGCACCCAGACCACTTCATTGAGCTGAAGTGATCTGAGAACCTATAGTGGTCCTTTAAGTGTATGTGTATCTGCATGCACTGGCGTACATACCACGGTCTCGGGGATTGCAGCCCTGCGACCAGGTGCCCACTGCCATGTCTTGCTGCCCCAGCCTGCGCAGAGTAAGCACCGGTTGGTGGGGGCCCATGGATCAATTTTCACACCGGGCCCCATGGATCATATGTACGCCACTGCCTTAGCCCAACATCTAGGGGTTGTTACTATTACCCAACTTAATGGAACTCATTTTATCTACTTCAGAATGATGAAAGGCTGAGTCAACCCTGCTGGGATTCAAACCTGTGAACAGATGTGAGGTGTGATTCAGAGATTTATGACAGATAACAGTGTTAAAATGTCACTACTGACATGTTTTAAAAATATATATTTTGAAACAGCAATGTCCTACTTGTACTTATAGCACTATAACTTGCAAAACAAAGCTAAGAACATGTGAACATCGGGTATTTCTAAACTCAGGACAAAACTTAGAAACTATTTAGCACGGGTGTTTTTTGGCGGTTGTAAATGCATAACGGATTTTGAGAGTCAAAGTTAGAAAAAGTGTGTTTTTCTTTAATGTTTTCATCATATTTTATAAAAATTTTTATAGTAAATTATGTGATATGATGAAAATAATGGTATCTTTAGAAAGACTATTTAATGACGATACGCTATATAATATGCCTGGGTACAGTAAATGAGTAAGAGGAAAATTACAGCTAAACACAAACACCGCAGAAATGTAAAAACAACCCTGGTCCTTAAAGGTGAGAAAAACTGTCTGGTCACTAAAGGGGTTAAGCAGCTTTAAGTGTTTAGGGGTCTGGAGGGGTCTGGAGTGTCCCTTAAAACACACCCACTATGTACTATATTCTAATTTTCACTCGCAATTTATCTATACACAGGTTTTGTATACACAAGTATAATGGTGGAGCCAAACCACATTTTAAATTATGTCCTCTGTGTATGTTTGGGGTTGGGATGTGAGTATAAACAGTAAAAGTATTTTGACTGCATCTACACTGTTCAGCACAACATTAAAACCACTGACAGGTGAAGTAATAACCATTTATTATATTGTTTCAATGGCACCTGGCAAGGAGTGGGAAATATTAGAAATCAAGTAAATAATCAGTTCTTAAATTTTTAAGTGTTGGAAGCAGGAAAAATAGGCAAACAAAAAGTTCTGAGTGTCTTCAAAAAGGCCCAAATAGTGATGGTTCGACGACTGGGTCAGAGCATCTCTAAAATGGCAAATCTTGTGGTGTGTTCCTGGTATGCAGTGATTAGTACCTATCAAAGGTGGTGCAAGGAAGGACACCCAGTGAATCAATGTCATGGGCAGCGAAGGCTCATTGATGCACATGGAGAGTGAAGGCTAGTATGTCTGGTTCGAACACAAAGAAAGAAAAACTTAATACTGGCCATGATAGTAAGGTGTCAGAACAAACAGTGCATCATAGTTTGCAGCATGTGGAGTTGCGTAGCCATAGAGCAGGCAGAGTGCTTATGATGATCTCTGTCCACCACTGGAATCACCTTCAGTAGGGGTGTGAGCTTCAGAACTGGACCATGGAACAACGGAAGAAGGTTGCCTGGTCTGATGATTCACGTTTTTCCTTAGATCAGTTGGATTGTCTGATGTGCGTGCGTCATTTACCTGGTGATGAGATGGCAGCAGGATGCACTATAGAAAGAAGTCAGGCCAGCAGAGGCAATGTTATGCCATAAGCAATGTTCTGCTGGGAAACCTTGCATCTAGGCATTCATGTAGATTTTACTTTGACATGTACCATCTATCTAGAGATTGTTGCAGACCACGCACACCCCTTCATGGCAATGGTGTCCCCTGATAAAAGTGGCCTCTTTTAGGAGGATAATGCACCCATTGTTCAGGAAAGGTTTGAGGAACATGACAAAGAGTTCAGGGTGTTGCCTTGGCCTCCAAATCCCCCATATCTCAATACAACTGAGCTTTTGTGGAATGTGCTGGAACAACAAATCTGATACATGGAGGTCCTACCTCTCAATTTATAGGACTTAGAGGATCTGCTGCTAATGTCTTGGTGCCAGATGCCACAGGACACTTCAGAGGTCTTGTGGAGTCAATGTCTTGATGCATCAAATCTTTTTTGACAGTATGAGGGGACCTACATGATATTAGGCAGGTGGTTTTAATATTGTGGATCATCAGTGAATACTGGTTTTGTGACAGCTATGTCAGTCTAATAAAATTATGTTTATAGTGTATCTATTAGACAAAATAAACTGAAAAATAAATGGGTTGTTTTAAAACTGTAATAATTTTTGAGCAATGCATTGGGTATATCAAACAGGACTGTATGTCTTTTTTTACTTTAGGTTGGATTATCTCACATCTGCTATAATTCAGTGAATAGTAGAATATTTTCATTGTAAGCTACTAATACTAAAATAAAAAGGAAAAACTCTTTAGAAAAGGAACAAAATAAAATACTTTTGTATCATTATCACTTGCCAGTTGTCCAGAGTTTTTCTGGGTCCATCAAGAGTGATAAAATTGACTGATTCCCAAAATCATTCTTAGTATGGAATCTCGTAAATCTTTTGGACGGCCTAGCAGACACCCCCTCACTGGCAAAAGTTTCCTTGGCACAGAAACTAGGCTGGAAGAACAGATGGATAACGGGTGAGTGGACTGTGTGACTAAATTCGAGCCAATGCAGTTTAATTTTCTACATCCACGTGCTTCAGAGAGCTTAATTGTAAGTGATACAACAACATTCAGTTCACCACTGATCTAATATTTAACCATTTCATGCAACGAAATGAACCAGTTTGATTATAAAGGAGTAATTATTTTGGCAAGTTTTATGGCTAAGCCAATTTACTATTGCATGTAATGAGACTCATAGATACCTAAGGGTAAAATGAGAATGTCTGGAGACATCATAATGCAATATGTCCATATGACATTCTTGTACATTAATACACACATCACCATTATGTATCTTTAAAATTACATGATGGTTTTAGGTTAGGGTTAATGTTACTCTTAAGGTAGTGCAAAGGCTAAGTATTAGTTACGAATTTGTATTAGCGTAGAGTAGGGGTTAATGGTTATGTAATATAATGTAGAGGTTAATAAGTAGCAATAGTGTAGTGTAGAAGTTAAGGTGAAGGCTACATTAACATTCCAGCAGCTGCTTTTAGGGTAACTCCCACTAACCTCAGGGAAACTGATGATCAGTGCATTATTCAGTAGGGAAATAATTGCATTGATAATGTTTCATCTGTGAGTTATGGAAGGAGAACATGTTACCTGTCCACTAAAATAATAGACAGATTGTATAGATATATAGATAGACAGACAGACAGACAGATAATGGAATACATTATGAAGGAGCTAGTGGCTGCTGACTGTATCCCGTGAATTATGAGGTAGGCTATTTAGGTCGCTGCTATTCCTATTATTTATTGGTTCTCTTTAATAGGCACGTGGGTTTCTGGGCAATCTCTAGCTCAGTGAAACATACAAGGATTTCTTTGGCCATTAACAACATATAGAAAATGCTGACACTTCCAGTTTACCAGAGTGGGTACAGGTGCCACATGCCAAGATCGCCAATCATTATCCTCAGCTATCGGTGGAAAAAAATGGACTAAATACTATGATTTTATCTTCACAATCAAGTTGATCAGAACTTATTGGCAAAGAAATGCACATAATGCTGAGATCCTTTTCTTTTAATAATCTCTTGGCCTTTCGGACTGTATCTTACGTCTCCCAGAGTGTGTTTATAGTGCCCTCATTCTCCTCGTGCAGTGATAAAATCAGCAGATTGACAGAATAGAACTTATGGGATAAGTGGATTCATATTTTACTACCCACTAACCAACTTGGCCAGTTACCTAAACCTGTGTTGAACTAAGAATTGTACCTGACAAAATAGGGTCTGCATAACGCATATAGAACAAAGTATTACAAGATG